ACATTTCTTAATATTTTGAATAAAGTTTTTATTTTCTTGTTTTCAGATTTCATTTATATTTTTGTTATGAGCTTTTGTCATTTTTTTATTAGTTTATATTTTGTTTTAAGAGACAACTATTTTATGGCGATGCATATATATATATATATATATATATATATATATAGCTTTATTCAGATTTCAGCTTTAATTTTAGTATTGTAAACTACTCTAAACTTAAACCTACACATTATTTCAGTTAGTCGCCAAGGCTACATTTGTAATTTTCAGTTGTTAGTTTAAAAAATTTTTTAAGCTAATATTTTTTAATTTGAATTTTGCCTGTATTTAAATGAAAGGAAACGATTTTTAAGTAAACGATAACAGCATTGCCATGAACTAGTTCTCTCTTTTAGTTTGTGTCAAATGACTAAAAACCATTTAAATCTAAAAATAGGGGGAAACAAAAGCCCTCAACAAATTTTCCAATATCGACAGATAATGCTTAAAAAATTACATCAATTTAAAAAAATTTAAAAAATAAATTAAATCAGAGTAACCGCTATAGTCTATATATAAAATTCTCAAAATGTTGTTGCTGGTTGACTTGTCGTTTTTGCATTGGAGAGGACGTCTTGTAATAAACAACAGCAACAACAATACATTCCCCCTGTTCTTGATATTGTTCTTTTGTTCATATTTGTCTAGGGTTAATTTTATTTTGCCATGTCATCTCAATTGCAAAAAAAAGTGTCCCAATTTAACCTGAAAGCACCCTAATTAAAAAATCATCTAAATAAAACGGTAACCTCTCATTATATTTCCCATAATGCAAAATCTGACCTAGATAAATGTGCTGACATGCGACGCTGTGGCACAGCTTGATAAAGCTGTCATCTGTTGTGGTTGTGTGGTGTCTTCAGAGGACGCGAGAATAAAAGCTTCCGTGGTTCATTTACATCACTGTACATGTATAGGCCTACTGTCTGTCTGTCCATCTGCTTAAAAATGAAAGAAGGTCAAAGGGATGTGGCAAACGGTTACTTCAGAAACCAACTGGTGATGAAGCCGTATGATGACAACAATCTGAGACAATCTCGTGTTGCTTTAGTGGAACCTGTTGCTGCAACACCGGACAGAATTAGTGTCTAATTTAAGACAAATGTCTAAAAATAGTGACTGCAGCAGTTAGGGCGATTCCCTTCATAGGCATTAAACTTTAGCATTATTATTATTAGTAGTATTCTAAGTAATTCCTGATGGTCCCAGCAGTCTTTGAGTTCAAGCAAAGTGAGTCTATAGTGTCTTTCTCCTCCATTATAAGGGGATTGTCAATGTTATTGCAATTCTCTGAAATCTATTAGTGATTATGGGGGTGTGCAAGCATTTCGGGATTTTTTTCTTTGACGTGTAATCAACAGAATCAAGGTAGTGGAGGAGAATGTCACTTCCTCTGTCAGCTCTATAAGAAGACTGATCAGTGCTGAAGCTATGAAGACCATCTCAGCATATGGAGACCTCGACAGGAATCAATACGACCAACATGAGGACTTTCATGCTCTTGGTGCTGACAATTGTAGCTGTTACTGGATTGAAACATCACAAAGCGGGACAAAATCTCCTAATGGAAATCATGAATGATGTGGATTATCACCTAAAACCAAGTTCAACGACGGTAAGAAGTGAAATGTATTATTTCATCTGGTTTATTCGCAAAGACTGTTCCTTAGTCTAACAACCTTCCAACTTTCTTTCACAGAATCTCAACCAATTTGTGAAAGATGTATTTCCTCCAGTGGGCTGCACGGTAAGTTGAATTTTAGTTGATTTTTCAGAACATACTTTCCTGATACTGGATTTCATTATCATTAATTACATACGGTTATACAGGAGAAACACCTTTGCCAAGCAGCAATGGTCATGATGAACACACAACTAAACCACAGCATGCTACACAGACGACTGTTTGCCTATGCAGATTATTCAGGGGTAAGTCATCTCACAATATTCATTTGTTGAATTAGATGAGAAACAACATGATTACCATACGGTGTCTATATTATTAGAGTATCATTCTGTGCGCAAACCAATGCTATGTGCTGATACTATCAGCATGATTCTTAGACTATAGAAATTATCAAATTTCATTTCCATTTTTCCACTGAATAAACAAAAAGTCAACTAGTCATTTTAACTACTATGGGTTCTTTCTGCCCCAATAGTAGCACCAAATTGAACAGCAATGCTCGTCTGAATGACTGACTTAACTAAGCTTAACTTAACTAACGACTGACTTAACCAAGCTTAACTTAACAAATGACTGACTTGACTAAGCTTAACTTAACTAATGACTGATTTAACTAAACTTAACTAATGACTGACTTAACTAAGGTTAGCATAACTAATGTCTGACTTAATTAAGCTTGACTTAACTAAGTTTAACTTCAATGAATGACTTGACTAAGCTTAACTTAACTAATGACTGATTTAACTAAACTTAACTAATGACTGACTTAACTAAGGTTAGCATAACTAATGTCTGACTTAATTAAGCTTGACTTAACTAAGTTTAACTTCAATGAAACTTAATTAAGCGTAACTTAACTAACGAACGACTGAATTAACTAAGGTAAACATAACGACTGACTTAAGCTTGACTTAACTAAGCTTAACTAATGACTGACTTAACTAAGCTTAACATAACTAACGCCTGACTTAACCAAGCTTGACTTAACTAAGCTTAACTAATGACTGACTTCATTCAACTTAACTAACAACTGACTTAACTAAGGTTTAACGCAGGGCTACAGACCGAACAGTGGCACATGCAGTGGAAATAACACAATATAGTTTGTAATAATCAGTTAACAACAGTTTTACAGCTTAAGTGAATTAGCTCTGCCTACAACTGTAGATAGATAAACTGATTTTAGACTGTTTAATGAAAGAGGTTCAATGTATTCTAATAGAGCTGAATGTGGTTTTTTTTTCCCACAGCACCATCACTGCAACGTTACAGCTACAGAAGAACACAGAATGGATGCTTTCCTCAAAAAAATCAAAGACTGCTGCAAAGAACAATACTCTAAACTCTTAATGCTAAACAAGACACAACCGAATTGACTCTAGACTTACTGCTTATGAACACAATACTATATTTTTGTATTACATTTAATATAAAATAATTTTCTATTAAATGTTTTTCTATATTTAGGTATTTGCTCATATTTATATATTTATTGTATTTATGAATAAAAGTATTCTGAACAAATTTTTTTGTTTGTTTTTGGAATTTGACAAATATTAATTATAAAAAAAACCCACTATGTTTTACCTTGTAAAATAATTTAATAATTTAAAGAGGAGTACAGGGGGGAAAAAACTGTAAAATGTAAACATGTTTACATAAGACTAATGGTTTACTACAGTGCACAATGGAAATACATTACAATTAGAGTAAATTGAGCTAATGGCACCACAGCCAGGGAAACATGGCATGCACATTCTCACTATAAAAAAAAATTTAAGTAGCATAGCTTGTGTACATCGAGCTAAAGCAATTGCACGCTGCCAACTGTATAAAACATTAAGATTAGATTCGTTTCTCAATAGCATATTCCCTGACGGCAAGCTCATCTTATGTGTCGCATTAATAACCTGCTCGCTCCAGCCATCAGTGTAAAGCAGAATATACAGTAACAGTGTTTATGTTAAAGGTGAAATGTGCCTTTTGGAGTGCTATCGTTAACAGACATTTTACAGCAAACTATCCTCACCTAAACCCAGCTCTGGAGTTCCCGCATATTAACACATGATTTATTTTCATATCCACTTATGTCAAAGTGCCTTATCATCACAAGTATCAGTATTTCCTAAGATATATACTGGACTGGCCTTGAAAATGCACAAAATATGGTGGTCTTCATCTCACAAAAGGCTCACTGTAGCAGGGATTCAATCACAGCCTCTGGTTTGGAGGAACGTTTCCTAAAAACAATGCGATTGGGGAAAAACAGACATTTAGACATGCAAATACATGCATACGTGTCATTTAGATTACTGACAGAAGATTGCATGTACAAATTCATTCATAATTGCTGAAATTGCTCCGAAGTGATAGTAAAGACATTTAGAATGTTACAAAAGATTTCTGTTTCAAATAAATACCGTTTCTTTCTTTTCAACTTTCAATTCATCAAAGAATCCTGAAAAATAAAATGTATCACTGTTTCCACAAAAATATTGGGCAGATCAACTGTTTTCAACACTGATAATAATCAGAAATGTTTCTCGAGCTGCAAATGATTTCTGAAGGATCATGTGACACTGAAGACTGCAGTAATGATGCTGAAAATTCAGCTTTGATCACAGAAATAAATTACATTTTACAATATATTCACATAGAAAACAGTTATTTTAATATTTATATTATATTTATTATTATTATTGTATTTTTGATCAAATAAACGCAGCCTTGATAAGCAAAAGTGACTTCAAAATAAAAAACAATTTTTTTTTTCGAAAACTTACAGACGCCAAACTTTTTAACAGTAATGCACAAAATGCAAAACCGTGCAAAGAAATGCTGAAATGTTTGACTCTGGATCAATTATGTTCAACTCCAAAGAGACATGCTTTGTTATTAAATTAAATAATCCCAAAAAAAAAAAAAAGGCTTTTCTATAAATATACTGTATGTATATCACAATATATAATTATGGACACAGAATATTGTGATATATGCTTATAGTGCCCATTTCAGCAATTACAGACTATACCTTTAAACAACATCTAAAATCATACAACTTATTAATGCACCATGCATTAAACTAAACTGAAGGATTATTTAACAGTCAGTTGTAACAGTCAAGATGCATTTGCGTGTACAAAGGCGTGAACCAGAAAGTCCACAAATAAAAAAGCATCTCACCTACGACCAGTTTTAGGCCTGGACTTTCCACTCTTTGATGTCCGAGGCCTTTCTAGTTTCATTAGGGACTGTCTCATGCTCTCCTCAGTGTAGGCCAGATAAACATGGGACAGGTCCACTTCAAATGGCTGAATCACAAAAGAGGGAGAGAGGACAAAAATTAAACCTGTAAAGGGAGCAGCGTGCATTACGTGTGCCTCATTTGTTCTGAACTCACTTACATCTTTTTCTTTCTTGTCCGACACAGGTGTCTGTTTTCTCATGTTGTTGCCTGTGTAGGCCACACATTTCTAAAAATAAAAACAGCAAATAGATCAGCTGTATTATACATTTTCATTGCACCCAAACATCATGCCAGATCTGAGAGATGTGCAGAATAAAACGTGTTGAAGACGCTCACCAGCTGCCATTCTCCAATGTCCTCATTCCAGTGCACATAGTTCTCAACCATCTCCTGTACACAACCAAAAAAGATGTTGTTTGCATGTTTTCAGCAGTGCAATAGTAGTATAATTTAATGCCATGTCAGCATCTGAGGCTATTTTCATGGCAAAAACTCAGTTACAAAAATACAAATATCACATAAATACAATAAAAACCAAGCAAACAAACACAGCAAGTCATATTATTTCAGTAGTGCAACAGAAACGCTGAATAAATATTAAGCTTCGATATTGTGAATACTCTTTTGGGGACTTTTGAAATTCATGTTGAACTCTTAAGAGTAAATAAACAAAGCTAGTAAATACAACTCATAATTTCACTAAACTGTAATATTCTGTTTGAAAAGGGAAAGTTCACTCAAAAATTAAAAATTTTTTATTTTGTGGAAAAAAAGAATATATTTTAAACAGCTTTGGTTACCACTGATTTCCATTGTACTGATCAAGAGAAAACACACTTGATATCTTCTATGTTTCACAGAATTAAGTAATTTATACGGGTTTGGAATGACATCAAGAGAGTAAATGACAGAAAAATCGGTGAAATCTCTCTTTCTGTACAGTTTATTTGCCAGCTCAGTTTTGACCTTTTCGCCTTTGTTGTGCAAGTGCAGCATTTCACACTATATTATCAGCAAAAAAAATATCAGATTAATGAAATCCTGACAAGGTGGAAAAAGCAAAAAATGATTTGCATCCTTATTAATGCAAGTGCTGCATCCTTAAGTGCTGTGTCAGTGCAGGGGAAACAAGAAATTGAGAGAAACACAATACTTCTGTTATTAAAACAGGGTTTCTTCAGGTTAAATGAATGTAAATTTAAGATTTTTTTAAGACCATGTAAAGAAAATGTAAGGAATGAATTGAATACTTCAATATGCTCTCTTAATGTAAATGTCCTGGGAGTAAAAAATGAGTTGTATTAGCAACACATCAAAGTTTAAAATACAAGTTCCAATTGAGATCCATTACTTTTAAATTAATTTAAAAAATGGATTACTTAAAAAGAATATCTTAAGGCTTGAATAGCTCTGCTGTCGACCATGATGATATCTTCTGATACAGTACCTTCTGACCAAACTGCAAAAAAATGATGTTCTTCCTCAGTATTTTTGTCTTGATTTCCAGTGCAAATGATTCATAAATCAAGATACATGTACTTGGAGCAAAATGACAAAAAAAAAAAAAGAAGTCTTGTTTTCTGTAAAATTAATCAAAATGAAGCGAGTTCATGAATAAAAAAAACTGAGCAAATATCTGCCAATGGGCTCGGAAAAATCTACTTTATTCAAAGGGTAAACAAGTTTTCATACCTCACTGACTTAGGTTTGTTCTTGTTTTAAGCATAAACTGACTTAATTTTGTTCATTTTTTTAAGACTTAATTTTACATTTGCATCTCAAGTAAATGCATCTTGATTTAAGGATGTTTACATATTTGTATTGGAAAACAAACTACGGAGAAAGACATTCATTTTTGTAATACATGCAACATTTAATGGCATAAATGTATGAATTTAAGACTTTCTGCTCTGATTTAAGTATTTTAAGGCCTTTTTTTGTGGAAGTGCGAATTAGGATCTGTTTAAGTCCGGCAGAAACCCTGTAAAGTGTAAAATACTAACTAAGATAGATATACGATTTTTAAGACTTCTTAGGAAAATATGATATTCTACTAAGACGTCTAAAACTAAATTTAGATTAACTTGATTAAAAACATTTCAAAAACATAAAACTAGAGAAATTATTACACAATCCAGTATAATATGCACATGTCAGACAAAGATTTTTGACATATGGGAGGGTTTTCCTGTGATCTAGAAAAGGGTGGTTTAATGAAGCTGATGCATGAGATCTTTATCAACAACAACATGTTTTGATCACTATATAATTCCTGCACTTCTGTAGATATTATTTGATAACTTCACAGTTATTCTAAAACATGTCAACAATAAAGAATGAGGAGGTTCGTCAAATTTTTTGACTGAGAGTGCATGTGCACGAGCATAAATGTAGACCTGATATTCCTGAGGAATAAAGTTATCAATGATGAGCATCTGTAGCCGCAGCTCTCTGCTCAGCTGCCGGATGTTTTCCAGCAGACCTTCGATCTCTCTGTGATGCTCCTGCTGCAGATCAGCCATCTGAAACGCAACAGACATTCTTACCAGAGTACCAAAATCGTGTGCTGTCACGATACCAAACGTTCAGTAGTCTGTAGCAGTTAAACTCAACACTTCTCTGTATCACTTCGGTACCACTGCAAATACTATTGTAATCATTTTAATAGTTTTTTTTTTAAAATGCAACTTTTTGAAAATATGAATATTCTATTAATAATTATAAGTACATAATATGATAAAACTAGAGATGCACCGATACTGAATTTCTCCACCAATAGCCGATTATTCAGAATGATATCTGCCGATACCGATAGTTTGGATTTCTTAAGAAAAAAAAAACCCTCTCCAAACTAATGCTGTAAACTATACTGGAATACTTCTATACTTGCTTCTCATTTGGTGCATTACTGTTATATTAAAGGTTAAAATTTATAAAAGAGCTATTATATTCAACTGCTATTTATTTTCAGATATAATAATTACACTCAAATAAATCTGAATTGTCTGTATACAACTCAGTTGCACATAACATTTTCGTAAACAACTGTCTTCATGCCAGAATTATTCAAACATACATATAGAATTAAATGTAAATGAGCTCCTCTTTAGTGTTTTTTTGTAGCGAACTAATGAACTGTGAACAGTGGATAACTTTGTAACGTTAAAGGTATAGGTATGTAATTTTTCAAAAACACTTCAGAAAACTGATTCGGGCCGAATAGCAAAACAAACTTGTAGCCAATCAGCAATAAGGGGCGTGTCTACTCGTGATGTGGAGGAGAGAGCTTTCAGTGCACGGGACGGACATTAGCCGAGCCGAGCGACAGAAAGATAGAGATGGCGGATAAAAAACAAAAGAGGAAAACGTCTGCGGAACGACAAGGCAAGAAGTAGGACCCGTGTAAAATATTGGATCAGCTTTCCAGTGCTGGAGAGAACTCAAGGAGCGGAGGCCTG